AAGTATAGTTGAAATATTTACTATGTTTAACATGTCAACATTGTAATATAAATAGATAGAATTATCGTGATTAAAACTCAAAATGTAAAACCATTAGATTAATTGTCGCATCTAAACAATCTAAACTACTCTTGGTTCCTGGTATTTAGGAGATTTTCCTTTTATTATATAGATAACTAGGGCACCCTTGTGCAAAACTCACTTTTTTACTGTGGTTAAAATATTTACTATGGTTAAAAAATAAGTAAAATAAAAAAAATGCTAAATGTGAATTGATAGGTTTAGCATGTTTAAAAAATTCAATGAAATACTCGTTTAAGTCATTAAGTTAAAGACTTCTGATTTACTTTTTTTGTTTTTTCCCTTGTAGTCCAATCTAAATAATCCCTTTTTTAATTACCAAAATACCCTTTAACTTATATTATGCTAATTTCTTTCTTTTTCAAAATTCTGATCTCTTCGCTCTCTTCTCTCTCTCTCTCTCTCTCTTCTATCGTTGCCTACAAAAAATACATGGAATATTCAACTAGATTCAAATTGGAGATAGATAACCATCATAATTTTCATCAAATATGACGAATGATCAGGGTGTTCAAGTTAATTTACGCGCATCTCAACTAATCTCCTATTTTGTTTAGTCAAGACCATACACGCCGAGACTAATTCGCAACGGATAACTGGTTTATCGCTTAAGTTTGCAACGGATGACGATGGCAATAAATCCCACACAGACCAACACCTCTCACCCACAATTCCTGGTTGCTCCAATCTCTTTCTTCAACACCCTTGCTCATTAAACAAAGTACTTCATCCAACGAGACAGTGTTGCATAAATTTTAGTCTTAGAAATTTTGGTCAGATGCTCACCACTAGACAATCTATCAACTTCTTGCCATTTAAGTTACTTTTGTGTCTATTATATATCTCTCTTTTTATTTTGAAATGTTATGCTAATGATTAAATGTAGACACCACTGTGTTGGTTTATAATAAAAATCAAAATTCAATGACTTTGGTGCAACATGTTTTGGTTTCTATAGGTTTTTGTTTGACCGTTTGAGTCTATCAAGGTCTGTGTGTTGGTGAGTTTGTGTGTGAGAAAGGAGGAGGAGAAGATTTGAGTTAATGGGATAGGAAACAAAAAAATGTGGTTTTGGTCCATTGATTTTATCACTATTTCACTGTCCAAATTGATATTTCAAAACAAATAAAATAGATAAATTAAAACAGATAAAACAAACAAATTCAAAACAAATAAAACAAATGGTCATGAAAATAAAAATTTTATTAATACAAATAAATTTATTTAAAATATTTTTAAAAATCTAAGACTTATTAAAACAGATAAATTCAAAACAAAATATTAGGGGAAACAAAGTCTATAATACAAATAAATTCATGTTATATATAATAAAAATTAAAGTTTTATTAAAATAGATAACTTCACTTAAAATATCATCGAAAAAAATGTTTATAATATAGACAAATTTATATGATATATAATAAAAATTAAAATATTGTTAATACTGTCAAATTTACTTAAAATAATTTTAAAATTTATTAAAATAAATAAATTCAAAACAAAAGAAGATTTCTACTAACCTTAGAATTTTGATCTAAAGGAAGTTTTTCTTGATTGTGATATTCTAAATATAATAAAATCACTTATTAAAATTTTTAGTTTGTATTGTGTAACTTATAATAAAACAGTAATTGTCAAGTGCGTAACAGTAACACATAAAATTGAAACAATTACACAAGAATTAACGAAACAATTATACGTAACTGTTTGTTTAACCAATATAAATACTAACGCGTTTGTAGAATAAGAACTGTTATTGAACTTTAAGTAGATCAAGACTAGTGTTTGACACTATGTCTTGAAGACAGATTTTGTCCCCACACACAGTGTTTATGGAATACAAAGCATCTGTCTCTCATGATACAATAATCTTCACATAAGGAGAAGTAACACTCAAATCTACTCGTTTAGCGAACCATTAATTATGTTGTGTACTCTTCAAATACAGACTGCCTTAACGCCAAAATATAATGCACTAATGACAGCCTTAACTCTAAAAATGGACTAATTAATTGATTCAGAATGGTAATGAGAGCTTGGGTATTTATAGATAGTCTGGTGACTATTCCGGACAATCACCATACGAAAAGACATAACCCAGAAGACACCACTTGTGTAACAGTTCTCTATGAACAGACACAACTCGGATTTCGAAGTGGAAGGAAGTTACAATTTGAACCAGTACGAATTCATATTTAATAGGTACCGAAATTAAATTCAGAATTAAGAAATTCACGCTCAATTTATTAAACGAATTTTCTTAAAAAAAAATATGGTTTGGTCTAAACCACATTCACACCCGAGCTCAGTCGTGGCGAGGCGGGTGTACGATGCACATAGTAAAACCAAAGACATGTAGGAACTCGCTTCACTCATAAAATTGTGGTAACCTTTGAGGGCCAATTCTATAGAGCAAACTTGACTTATATATGTCCATGTAAAACTTCATCCTCAATCAATGTGTGATTGATGTTAAATTTCACATTGTGCATCCTTTATTTTCACATTTAAAGATGGTCATTTTGCAGCCTATTTTCTCATTCATTTATTACTCGATTTAAGCAAGTGAATATATTACATTATTCTCTTCACGGAGTAGAATATGAACCCACGAAAATTTACTCGAAACAACAAACAGGTCTCACTTTAATTTTAGCTCAAAATTGACTAAAAAATCAGTTTTTAAACTTACAAAATGTTTTGGTCCAACTGTTTTCTAGTGCTTACGACAGCTATAATGACAGATATAAAGAACTACCAATTATTGCTGGGGATGGTATAGTCGATCTTCCAAGTCCTCTTTTAAAATTGGGATAAACTTGTCTTTTTAATCTAAGTGATTGTTATGTTTTTGTTATTACATTAATAATTATCTCTATTTAATTTTTCCATTGCCTGTATCAACGGTTTCTTTTTAAAAAATTGGATGTATCAAAGGTTGAAGATGGACATGATGTTGTTTTTGCTACAGAGTGAGCTATGGAGCCTAAAATCAAAATTTTTATGCTATGTTTGGTACAATGAAAAAAATAAAAGGATGAAAAATTGAAGGGATAGAAAAAACATCATGTTTGGTAAGAAAGAAAAATAGGAAGGATGAAAAAATAGATGAATGAGTTTTCTTTCCACCTCACCAAAATTAATCTCTCCAAAATTAGAAGAAAAGTGGATGAAAATTAATTTATTGTATTGAAATATATTTTATTTGTTTATATATCCTTTGACATATACATATATTATGTATACATTAATTTTATATATAAATACAATGATAAAATATGTATTTATACTTTTTTTTTTAAAAAAATTAGAAAAATTTTAAAAATTAAAAAAATATTTTTTAATCTTAAGAAGCACAAAAAAAAAAATTAATTATTTTTATTTTCAATCCATTCTACCAAATACAAAGGAAGGAAAATGTATCATTCATACTTTCCTTTCTTGAAGAATAAAAATTATATCATTTTTACTTTTCATCCCTTCTAGTTTCTATCATTCTTACCAAACGAAGCTTTAGTGGATGAATGTGACTGTTAAAAAAAAAAAGTGGTACAATTAATTACAATATCTATCTAATTCTCTGAGCAATTTCTATGACGCTTTCATTCAATGTCACTTAACCATAGATCGTTTATCAAGTATGTGAATATGTGTGATGAACCGACTTAAAAATAATGAGTTCGCTTGAATTTATAACATGTGACATGCTAGCTATTAATCTAACCTGCTAGCTATTAATCTAAGTACAATGAAGAAAATCTCAATTCATAAAATAACTTGTAACAATCTAATTAGGCATTAGCACCAATTATTATTGATAACAGATCATGTGTAAATTGTATCCTATTAAAATTAACACGATTCTTATATACAAAATTATGTTGTGTTGTTGTTGTTGTTGTTGTTGTATACATCTCCAATTTAGATTAAAAAAAGGAAGAATTACACCTACACTCTTTGAGGCTTATCACTTAATCACTTAGATCCTTTGATATTTAAAATATTACACACAAACCTTCTAAACTTTGTACGCGTGTAACACTTAGACTCTGCTCTAAATATATTCGTTAATAAATTACACTCAGACTCCCTGAAATTTGTAAACATATATTAATTAGACCCTTTAAGTTTAAAATGTTATAGTTACACCAAAAATACTTCAAACAAATATAAAATATAAAATATTTTACAATTAAAATTCATGTTCTATTGTATCATTTATTGAAATAAAATCACAAATAAAATTTAATTTTTTTCTTAAAAAATCGTAATTAATATACAACTATATTACGGGCGTACAAACTTCAGGAAATTTGTGTTTATAATGATTTACAAGAGAAGAATGAGCAGCTGTTCTATAAGTTTCTTATTGATAATGTTGAAGAACTCCTACCAATTGTCTACACTCCGACTATTGGTGAGGCTTGCTAGAAATATGGAAGCATTTTTAGGCGCCCTCAGGGTATCTACATCAGTTTGAAAGAGAAGTATGATTTTTTGTTTGAGCTCTGAATTACTACATTTGCACTTTAAAAGTAGGTTCAAGTTAATGGAAAAGTCCATGGTACCGAACAAAAAAAATTCGGTACTGTATTGACAGATATTATTTTTTATGGTAAAGTAGAGAAGTTACAACTGTTCTAGAGAGACCATGATCAATCACAGATACAAATGATCGATCATAGACTCCCTTTAAACAGTTGTAACCTCTCTCTTTCAAAGTTGTAACTTGACTTTTAAAAATTGTAATTTAACCTTTGACAATTGTAACTTCGGTATTGATCCCAATCTATCATGATCGATCATGACCTTTAAAAGTTGTAACTTATACCAAAAAGAAATTGTAACTATACCAAAAAAAAAATTGTAACTAACATTAGAAGGTTGTAAATTTTGGTATGGTACCTCCTTGTGTACAGTAGCTTTTCCCCAAGTTAAAAAAGAGACCAGGAAGATTCTCGAGGTACTGAAGGACTGGCCTGAAAGGAATATTCAAGTTATTGTTGTGACTGATGGTGAGCGAATTTTGGGACTTGGGGACCTTGGTTGCCAGGTAAATATGAGAGGATTCATTTTCTTTCATTTGTAACTGTAAGTATCTTAAATGCCAAATTCACATTTATAAATATAAGACCGGAACGACAACAAACTAGTCTTCACATAGCAATTTTTAAATTGTTGCAGGGGATGGGGATCCCTGTAGGGAAACTGGCTACTGGCCTTGGAGGAGTTAGACCTTCAGCGGTAAAAGCACAACAAATGGAAACTGTCAATTTTGTTTGACTATTCTATTTGGATGTTGGGATAATTACTTTCTTCAAGTTTTTCTTTAGTGCACATGAAACTCATCTGTCTTAGTATGGTTTTCTTGACTGTATTAAATAAATAAATCTATTTGACATTGTTTATTTATGAGCTTGATCAAAATTTGTGGAGTTTGGTTTGGCGCTATCATTTTGGTTCACCGTACTAATGAAATTTTTTTACCTCCTGATGTAGTGTTTGCCAATAACTATCGATGTGGGGACAAACAATGAGCAGTTGTTGAAGGATGAATTCTACATAGGGCTCAAACAAATTAAGGAGGACAACTGGGAAGGTCAGTGCTAGATACAGACCCAATAGTTGATCAAAGTTTGAAGAATTATGTATTGTATTCTCTTCAATGTTGGTGCAGTATTGACAGTTTTTCCTACCCCAGGAATATTATGACTTCTTACATGAATTCATGACTGCTGTTAAGCAAAAATATGGTGAAAAAATTTTGGTACAGGTAAGTGAAATATCACTCTAATGTGTTAGACTTCATCCAAGATTTAGGCTTTCTGGATTTTAGAATTATTTAAGCATTTCTAACATTGGTAAAAAAAAATTTATGAAATTTCTCAGTTTGAAGATTTTGCAAATTACAATGCGTTTGAGCTACTAGCGAAATATCGCACTACTCATCTGGTCTTCAATGATGATATATAGTTGTTACATCGTGGTTGATATTGTCACTGGAAGGTGTTCTATGTTCTTGTCTAATTTGTTGTTTCCATTTTTCAGGGTACAGCAGCTCTAGTTCTTGCAGGGCTTGTTGCAGCACTAAAGTTACTTGGTGGTACTTTGGCTGATCACATATTCTTATTCCTTGGTGTTGGGGAAGTGAGATTCTACTCCTCCTATTTCTGAATCTTAACATCCTAGGCAGATAAGCAAAAATAACTAGGTTAGAGTGTGGTATAGTACATAAGTAAAGTAATGATGGCACAAGAAACTTATAGAGGAAATATTAGTGACTTTGCAAAATATTTTATTTATTTGTGCTCCAAAATCTGGTTTGCTTTGAGAATTTTCTATTTGACACCGATATTCCTTAGATCGTGGGTTGATTACTTGATTTGGTATGGGTATGAGGTACGATATTTTCTTTGATACATGGCGTGATGAAGATAGACTTTATCTATACACTGTTTTGGGTCACCATTTGCTTGGGAACTATTATTCGGATTGTTTTCACCTCTTGTATTTGCATAACTATACTTCCATACACACACGGCCAATCATTACTTTGATACTTACGATAAGAGTTTCAAGCTTGAAGACCAAGAAACGGAAGCACCCTTGAGGCCACATGAATAGGTATTGATTTGAACCGCAACGCAAAACAACCTACCAACTAAGGTTGTGAATAACAAAAGTCAATAGTTTCACATTAGTATTACAAAAAAGTTCAAATCACAAAAGTATATTTAAAGTAAATAGTTCTACATTTGAATTACAAAAACATTCAAATCAAAACCAATAAAAATATACTTTTGAAGATGACCAAAATTACAAAAATAAAGTACCACTTGGAGTTACAATTCAGGGTTAGTGTTATAATTTGGGCTTAACTAGATCATGGATCGATTGACGTTAGGGTAATAATTTATGGATGGGCATTTTGGGGATCTTTGTCACGCCCCAAAATTCCACAAACTCGGGGAGTGAGTGTAAAGGAAGAAGAAAAACAAATGAAAGGTCATTAGGTTGGATAAATTGGTTTCTCATTCATTTTCCATGTTTTCCCAAAGTTTTTTAAGCAACTTTTCTTCTATTTTTAGCCTATTTCTTCAAGTTTTCTAAACCCCTCCCTTTGACATCCTTCCCACCTATTTAAAAGGTGTTTTACACACTTAACAAGTCTTTTAATTTTCAATAAAATTTTGAAATAACCTCCTTTGTTTTCAAGCCTTTTTTCCACCTAATATTCACAATATTTCATATGCATTATTATATCACAACCCACCCTCACTCGGTGACCACAATCCATATAAATTAAACATACATCCCTTGTTCTCAACATATATATCTAATTGTCCCAATATACACATATAATACTCATTACATAAGAGATATCATATATATCAATTGGGTTTACACCCTTACACTTTAAAATAGCCCAATGTCTAAATTTATTATTTTTTCAAATTGAAATACAAGTCATTTGGGCTTATGCTCATACATACAATATATGCCCAAAGGCCAAATATCCATTCAAGTCCCTTTCCCCTCCCTCCTTTAAGACTTCCTCAAGTCTCAAGTATCGGGAGCCTTATCTGTAATATGATATCCCACAAATGGGTCAACTCAACTGCTGGTATGATAAAAGGCTAATGCTAGGAACAAATTTAAAGTGTGACATGTGCAAGTGTACATTTAAAAAAAAATTACAACCACATAATCCCTCAATTCTATGCAATATCAATATGCATGACACGCCCATGCAACTCTATACTACCCATGTCTCGTTTCACGGTCTGCCCCCGTTAGCCTGCGAGTACTGTCATTGGCTAGATTTTGAGTTTTTCACCACAAGATCTACACCCTCATAATGCATAGCACCAAGTGCTCAACCTACACTATGTTCCAAGGATTCATGTATGTCAAGATGCCTTGATTTTTTTCAATGTGCATTCTATGAAACATTTCATCAAACACCTTATCTACATGAATATGAAGCACCATTCAATGGATTAAACATATGATAAAGCTTCATATTCATTATTTTCACAATTTCTCAAAGAAACTAAAAATGCACAACTAATAACTCATGTAATAAATCATAACTCTCAAACCACAAGAGTTTCTCTACATGAATATAAGATAGAATATAATAGTCCAACACAAACAATATACACTTTTACCATAGCAACAAATTGTCAACAAACTCAAAACAAATACAAAAGTACTTAACCCATAAATTCTAAGTTTTCAAAGTAACTACCAATTAAATGATTTTCTAACATCAAGTAGACACCTAAATCATCCAATTAACACATAGGAAGACAAGAAAACTTAAATTTATTCCCAACTTAGCAAAATATCATACCTAAAATGATTTTTCTCAAACTAAGGGAGTTGTGTTCACTTCAAAGCCGAATCGATTGGTGAGAATATAGCTCTTGTTGAGAGGAACAACTTCTTAGAAGGAAGTCTTGCAAGAATTTTGGCTTAAGATTGAGTTTTGGTGGCTTGAAGCTTGAAGAACCAATGATTTTTCTTTATTCTTCCTCCTTAAACGTGTACTGCCCCTTCCCAGACCAAAAACACTGATATTTTTACACTAAAGAGGCTGTATTTATAGTGGAGGGGCAAAGGTGCAAAATGACCCTTTTGCCCTTGATGAATCCGGGACCCCATTACACTACAACTCGTCCCGAAATGCCTCAATTCGATATTTTATTTTAACCAAAGTTCTTAAAATTATTTTAAATAAAATTTTTAAAAATATAAATTTTCACTAGTGGCCGAGTTTGGCCGATCCCACCTAGACCACCCGGGATATATTTTTTGTTCAATTTTTGAAACAATTTTCGTTTAGGCTCAAATTTGCATAGTAGGTGTATTTTAATATTCTGAGCATGTTTCTCTTCTATGAAATACTCAAATTATGCTCATAAACATAACTTACGCCTAAATGAGACATATGTAGTGTCTTACCGACAAATAGTGCATGAATAGTACTCTACTGGCAAAACTGAAAAATTTATCCTCACTTTTCAAATTTCTACAATCTTAGTTATGAACCCACTCCATTTGAGGTCGTGTGCCCTACCCACGACCCCTTTATCCTTGTTTGAGAATTATTTGAGGCATTCTTTCAGCATTGGTCTATGGAGCAAATTGGTTATATATCAAAAACTACTGGGAAGACTAAACTGATGGGGAAAAAAACCAATGTGACAAAGCATACACCTTGATGTTGGCCTTACCACATCTTCAACTAAACCTCTTGCAATTTCTTGATGGACATGTTCAGTTTTCCTGATTTTTTCTGTCGCCTTCCGAGCCTTTAAATTGGTGACATATGGTAGCTAACTGTCAAACATCAAATAAGATCACAATTGATTTGTCTCACGATTATCATCTTGTAATTGCGGGCTAGGACTGGTATAGCAAAGCTTATAGCTCTTGAGATGTCAAAACAGGTGTTGGTTTAACACCATATACACATTTATGGTTATGTTATTATAGCATATTTTCCCAGTGTTTGGCTTTGGCTTAGTCATCTCTGATGCGATTCGTGTCCATGATGAAATGCTTCTTGCAATGAAGAATAATGTTGAATTTACTATTGCATACTGATATGATTTACAAATTTAGGTGCTGCAATTCAAGTGAATGACAAAAATAGAATACTTGCCATCTTTTCCTATTCTCTAGACATGTAAACTCTTGTGTGGTGAAAAATGAAAACGTTACGATATGTCTTTCAGATTACAGTGACTTTAAAGGCAACACAATGTTTGTAAAATTCGGATAAATTTAAATTTTTTATGAAAAAAGGGAAAAACGATAATTTGTCACTATGATAAGGGTTGTAAACGTGAAATTTTCTAGAACTCGGATGACAAAATGAACCTCACCATTGGATTCGTCTTGCGAAATCTAACTAACCCTGTCAAATTTTATCGAATTTTGAGATAGTCAAATTTTTTACGTTTTACGATGTAATTAAGTCTCAGGTGACCAAAAATGAGATTTTTAATAAAATTTTAAAAATTAAAAAATAATTTAAGGCAAGTTAAAAATAAAAATAGTTTAAACTTGAACCGAGACAAAATTTAATCGTTTCAGGGCGAAAACGGACCCGAAAAAAGAGGGTTGTGTGGCGCAATAAGAACCAAGTATTTAAGGAGTATAAAAAGGGGAGAAATATCAGATTTCTCCCCATTTTGTTCAGCCGGTTCTAACGTGAGAAAGGAAGAGAGGAAAAACTCAAGTTCTCTCCACCTTCTCTCTACGATCCACGGAGATTCGTTGCTCGAATTAACTGAAGCCAAGAACAAAGATTGTTCTACACGTCGAGGGCTACGCGACCACACCAAAAATGACAGGTTTCACAAAAGATTCCAAGGATGGGATTTTGAAAATCGAGAGTTTGGACTTCGGGATATTCTTGAAGGTTCTACTGTCAATTTTACGCTTCAAGAGGTAGGATTCCCTCCTACTAGGGTTTACCTTCTAACCTAGGGCATATTATGAAATGGATAAGTTGATAGGATTATATGTCACTTGTCTATTGTTGTAAAATTGATGGAAATGGGTATAAAAATGGTTTAAAATAAATTCCTAGCTTGAAATTGATATGTGGTAATTATTTGTGTAATTCCATGGAAATTGGTATTATGTGGGCATGCTATGTGTTTTTATTATACCTTTGTGAATAAAGTGTGTTATTGACATGTATTATATAATAACATTCTTGAGATATTGTTGGATATAAAATGTTGATGTATGTTTATTGACATTGTGATGAAGTTGGTAATTATATGCATGAAATATGTATAAGCGTGGTTAAATTTGCTCATATGACATTTATTATATATGGGGCATGACATTGATGTAACAATGGTGCATTACATTGCATTTGCACGGAGGCATCGCATCCATGGGCATGAGACATGGGTGTGGGTGTGGGTGTGTGCATGGTTTGATCAAACACCATACTTGTTGGTTGATGTGTGGGCTCAGAAAAGTTGGATTGAAGATCCGATTGAGTCGCACAGTTGCATGAAAAATTGGGTCGGGGTTGGCAAGAAGGCTAGACTATCCCTCGGGTGAGAGACCCAGTGATCGGATACACACTCTGTTGGTATAAGATCCCATAAGATGTGTCGGTGTACGCAGAACCGTTGGTGGAAGTCTGTAAATTCTATGTCGATTGGGTGTCGTTGGTGTAAGTCTATAGATACCCATCCCAAGAAAGACCCAGAAGTTTTTAAACAGTCATTGGATGGGTATCATCAATGACAGGGGTCAGGAAAGCCCGGTTTTATACTCATGACATTGCATAGGGAAAAGAAGTCAATGATGGCTCGGGTCGAGTTGCATGAGTGGGTGTCATCGCATATCCTGACATGACATATTAGATTCCAACATAGACTTGCTTAATCTTGATTGGAATAGTTGTTGTTTTTAATGTCGCATGTGGGCATTGTATATGCACTTAGATTGAGGGAGTAGCCTCTGTAGAAGATACTCTATTGAGCGTGGCTTACCCTATACGGGAAAATATTTCAGGTGCGAAGTATAGGCTGATGGAAGGCCCTCACATGGGACCTCAAGGATGAAGGAAGTCGGGATGTGGCTTTATTTTGAGTTTTTTGTAAATGATTATGAAAACTTTGTTTTGACATGTAAATTAATGTAATAGAATGTGTACGGACCTTGTAGTATTTGATAAATAGTCAACATACCTGTGTTGGATGGAAAGGAGGTGGATTGAAATGCATTGGAAATTGAAAACAGGTGAAATAGACAAATCTAGGCAGGACCTATCGGTATAACGCTATCCAGTGGGCAAAACCTACCGGTAGAATCTTGTACAGGTAGAACTTTGTTTATCAGGCAAAACCTATCGGTAGGACCTACCGGTAGAACTTTTCCAGTGGACAAAACCTACCGGTAGGTCCTACCGGTAAGTTCTCCAAAAATCTGAAACATTAAAACTGCTTTGCCATTCTTTTGGACTTTGGGTTCTTTGGTTCCAAGGATATAAATGGACATAAAATAAGGATAAATTGTGGTATATTGGACCTTGGCTGTGTCAAATAATAAAATTTACATGGGTTACACGTGTGGGTGATGATCCTGGTTAAGGGGATGCTATTGATGTGATGTCGGGTTGTGCGACAATCATTGGTACTTCCACGGGTTGACGGGTGGTCAACGGTTGAAAGGACCCCCTGTTTTAGGAGCGTCACAATGTTAGGTTGTCATTGCAGTAAAGCAAGAAACATAATTCTCTCGATATTAATTTTCCAGATGTCTCCATTGAAACAGCGGAAGCTTGGTTGGTCAAGTAATGGAGGAGCATTTAGCTAAGGGCATGATTTACCCTCCATTCACTAATATCAGAAAGATCTTTATTCACATTGTTGCTAAGGTAGTTGCTAAATCATATGAACTTGGTGAGCAAATATTTTCTTTTCCCTATTTTTGTTCCAAGCTACTTGCCGAGACATGAATTTATGTTCGCCACATTACATAAATGCTTTGTACATATGGTGATACGTCTCCTTCGACCTGAGAATCTGGTGAAGTATGCTGAAAGCTGTATGTAAACTCCTACTTACCGGACATACCGTTGAATTGTGTCACTACCAACTACAACTTATAACTTCTATACTTCATTTTAAAGCCTGTTGTTGTTATGATGTGCCTTCGTTGTATGTTATTAAGTTTTGGCTGGCTTTTGTGAGTTGTAATTTCAAAATATATCTTGATCTCAATGATTTTGGATATATGAAGTCCAGATGGACCCGAATTGTTTGATTTCACAAGTGTTTTTTTGTGCTTTCGGTAAAACACACGTTCAAGGATTTTGGCGTTTTAGTAAAGTATGTAAAATTATACAAGTGTGTAATTTTGGTATGGGAGTTTTTTTTATTAATCATCGTGATATTATCCTCTAATGAACTCTCTACATGCTACTTGTTGGTGTGGCAAAAACATGAATTGCTCCCTTAAGCCAAGAGGTGGACTTTAAGCAAGTTAATTTCAGGTTGAAAATGTTTTAACATTGTTTGATCAAACTAAGTTTGATTGAAAAAAAATCCTCAAAAGCTTATCCGGATTGGTTCAGTGGTCCAATAAAAGATTTTGGCAAGATATAAATATGCACATCCTCAATTTGAGCTACCCTAATAATATAAACTTTGGGTTTAACGGATGCTTTTGGTTATGGGTGATTGTACGTATTGAAGATTAAGATTTACGTTTTAATCAGTCCAAAAAGCAAGTGATTAGAATATTTATAATATAAAACAAACAGACTTTAATAAACTCATTCGACGATTTTAAATAGACTCATTCAACAACCACCAACATTCTTCTTAAAACCATTCATATTGCACCGTACTTTCAGACACGAGTTACCCCTAGTTTGTTAATAATGTGAGATGTTAAATAGGTGGGACAAAGAATAACACATCAAATGCTATTAGGCACTATTGAAAATGACTAGTAATAATAATAAAAGTTAAAATGTAAATATTCTCCTTAACACCTGATAAGCTTACAAATTTAGTATACAAAGAGTCTGGTGGTATACACAACTTGGTAGCATAGGCAACAAACTCCATAGTTCAGATTCAGTGGCAAGTGTTTCAGGTAAAAGTCCCCTGCCATTGCTAGTTAAGTTTGGTTTTATTTGTAAGAGTTCAGATCAGCATGAGTCTCCTTGTATCGTTGCAGCAAGTACGTTTCACATTTAATTGGAGGATACCTGGCAAAGGAAAAGCAGCCTCAGCATCCACAAGGTGGGCCGATTTTGGGTGCGTCTGTGTGTGCATGTGTTTTGGGGCTCCACTCGCCCGCTGGGGTGGAGGGGGAACTCTTAAATAGGACTAATAATCGAACCGAATTTTATGAGTTCGAGATGAACCTATTGAACTCATTTTTTTAAACGAGCCTAAAAAATTGTTGTTCAAGCTCGGCTCATTTTGCTGAGCACATATAGCTCAACTACTTGACATATAAATTAGTTGAGTTTTGTGAGTGCAAGTCGAATCTTTTAAGCTCATTTTTCTAAATAAGCTTAAAAAATTGTTTAAGCTCAATTCAGTTCAATTATCAACCCTACTCTTAAGTGTGGGCAATGGTCCCAGAATACCTTGACTTGTCGGTCAACATGCGAAGGTGGGCCACGAGTTGGGTCAATCTCAGATCACTAGCCTGGACTACTACGCCCCAAAAAAATACAGCCATGATCGACCCATCAGGGCGGTTGATGTGTTGTTTTATTTCTACTTTTCTGATTCTATTTTTCAAATGGATTTTTTGGGTGTGGGTACACTTTTTTTAACTTATTTAAGAGAAAGTGTATGGATAAGTATTTTACTCTATTAAGTTCAATTTTAATAAAACATCTTGTGATTATGTACAAAATTCAAATGACATTTGAATTTTTTTATTTACTTACCCTTTCTTAAATTATGTATAATTTTTATTCTCTCAATCTCTTCGCTATTTTCTCTCAATCTCTCTTTCTCCCCCTCTCACTATCTCCCTATTTTTTCTCCATCTCTCTCACTATCTATCCCCTATTTTCTCTCCATCTCTCTCCCATATTTTCTCTCTCTATCTCCCATTGATAATTTACTTTCTTTTCAAATATGTAAAGATTTGATTTAATTTTTTCATCTCTCTCTCACTCCCTCCCCCTATTTTCTCTCACCATTACTTTCTTTGCTTAATTTCTCTCTCTCTTTATATCAATGTTACAACAATACAATTACACTAATCCGTTATAATTGTTTTATAATACACTAAGTTGTTACTCATGTGTTCTAATAAACCAAACAGTTACACTAAATAATTACACAAAATTATGACACTAACCCAATTTGTCATTCAATTGTTTACATAAATCAAAGAGTTGCACCATTCAGTATCAAGACATGGTTACACCAATTATATACACCAAATTTGGTACAATGGTAAAGTCTTTTGTATAATTATAAACACAATTTGTTGTATATAATTGGTGTAACCATATCATGATACTAAATGCTATAACTTTTTAGTTATGTAAACAACTAAATGACAAATTGAGCCGGTGTTGTAATTTCGTATAATTATTTAGTATAACTGTTGGTTTATTAGAACACATGAGTAACTGTTTGATTTATTATAGGGTAATTATAACTGATTGGTGTAACTGTATTGTTATAATGTTAATATAAAGATATAGAGAAAGAGAGAAAATAAGGAGAGAAAGAGTAACGATGAGAGAAAATAGGGGAGAGAGATGAAAAAATTAAATCAATTTTTTACATATTTAAACAAAAATAAATAATCAATGTAAAAAAGAGAGATAGATAGAGAGAAAATAGGGAAAAGAAAGTGAGAGAATATAATGGAGAGAGAGACCAGAGTAAAGAATAATAAATGACCTTTATGCATTTAGGGTCAAATAAGTTTCCTTAATGTAGTTTAGCTCAATTAAGTCCAAATTTTTGTACCAATTTCTAAATTCTCCTTTCAAATTCGGCATTTATTTTGAACTCCATCGGGCTAATAGGTCTGTTTTTTGTTACCTAATTGGCCTAACTTGTCAAGTCTAGTGAGCCAATACCCACGACTTATGGCCCAATCCTATGGTCCGCTAGGCTTATGGGCCATCCCACACATGCTATTAGCCAAGCCTTAAGGACTCTTGCGTGATTACTATACTCATCAATCAAAATAGGTGATAATCTTGATGAACCACTTTATGTGCCCTAAGATCCCTAATTGGATCAACCAGAGGTTCATATAAACTTGTAAGCGGTAAGATTGTGTTCATAGTGTTGTTGATCGGTATTTACTTGGGAGGGTTCTCCGGTGACTGGCACGTTGGCAAGCATTCAACAAGGCAATCGTGATTAGGCTTCACAAAGTATGCAATCTGCACCCAGAGAGAATATACAAAACATTTACCATCTTTTTTGGTTCATATACAAATATCTAGCATAAGTAATATCTAGAAGCAAGACATAACAAGAAGTGGCATGGAAAAAAGACGTAGAATCAACGGAGTAGACCAAAATAAGATAGCACATGCACGAGACTTTTGCTATTACGGTGTTTGGGGGTAGATGTACTCCTGCTACCCCAAGATCCATCCTCAGAGGAATAGGCCAAAATGAGTAGTGCAATGTGTATAATGAGAAATTAGCAACTAAAGTCGGTACAGGAAAATTGCAAAAGATCAATAATAATAAAGCAATACAACTAATCTCACTGGTGTCATAGTAATCCTTATTCATATCTAACTAAGCAAAATCAGATTATTTCAAACCACATGCTCATATAGAAAAATAAGTGGGAACTTGGAAGGTATGTAGTTAGAGCTATCTAGAAGCCAACCATGGCCATGAGAAACTTCTTTTCACGCCGGAGACGCCTCATTGGCAAGGTAATTTAACGAATTTCCAGGTGAGCTTTGACAGCCAAAAGATGGATATGCTTTGGGAAAGCAGTAAACCTAACACAAACATTTATAATCCTCAATTCTTCGTAACTGTTGAGCTTATGTGCTCCCACTTGAAAGCTAAAAAAGTTGCCTAACATTATAAAGATGTTTTCAATTTGAATTCCAACATCTAACCAAAAAAAAAAATTTGAATTCTAGCATGCAAAAGCCCCTTTTATAAAAGGATTCTACTGTTTCAAAATTGAATTTATGTCATTAACACTTGCAAACTTAAATAATTTCTTTCCACAACCTAACTATAATTTTCAATAGCAGAACCTCAAACAACCTTGAGATAACTATAATTTTTAATAATCTTATAATTTTTGGATAGTAGAACTAATGTCAAAAAGATATAAATAATAAAGTATCCAAAAAATTAGCTGAAGCAATTTGTATAACACACATTTGTTGTGCATATGTGTCCACTCATTTAATTGGTGTGAATGCTTCCTAGTTGCTTCAAATCTAGAACATGCTGAGGAACCACTTAAACATTGCAGCACTTGTAACTCGGTTCTGCTCCCACTTATAATATGATGATAGAATGGATAAAGTGATAAACTAATCAGTGCCGTTTAAACATTTAACTCAAAAAAAATCGACTATGGGTAAATACTCCCCCAAGATTAGTCTGGAAAGCTTTACCCTACCCAGGTAGCCCAGTCACAACACCCCAGCTATGAGTGGAGAGACCTAATAAGGTAATAGTTTGGAAGGTTTCACAACACCAACATGTTTCAAGTTTGAACAACACAGTTTGAAATGGGGTTGCAAATGGGGCCTAAATATCAATGCAGAGTGCCAGAGACCAAAGTGTAATCAATCCGTCATACATTTATAATAAACTAATAATGTATAGCTTAAAAGGGAGAGAATATCTAACAACAATCATTATAGTATGTTAGAAACACATTTAAAAGCTTCAAAAGGGCCTTACAGAATATCTCTCTTGACCATTCCCCAAAACTCGATGCAATGTCGACCTGGATAGAATTAACAAAGGGTCACACTTCTATGAAATTGGTATGTCCAGAAGTTCAAAAGATATAATTAAATAACTCTAAGAGCATGCAAATCACCATGAGAACAAAACCTGCAATTACGGTAGTTCAGCAATTCAACAATACGCAATTGTTGAATGAGATATTTCATCAAAAGATTGATAACTTGTGCCAGTTTCACCATGAATCATGACCAAGTCAAAAGGTAGATAACTAGACATTATAGTCAAACTTTGAAACTTAAACTAAAAGTGGGAGCTAGTTAACTAATATTCAAATTTATGCAAGAATTGATGAAAATTCTGGAAGGAACTTATTTGAAGCTCCTACTATGTATCAAATAGGATAACAACTGCTAATGAAAATGCACCTTACCTAAACATAGAGTTGCTCCAGCGCTCCAGCAAATCACCGAGATTTACAATAAATGCTCTGGAAGTCAAATATCAATCACTAAGGCAGTAATATTACAATAAACTAAAGAGAAAATTTATCAACAATAGCAATGATGGTAAGCAATTGTTCAGGACACCACAAGGATAAAGTCATTGTGACATATGTTCCGCATTCATAATATTGGAGTAAAGTCCAACTTGGGTCAATACGGCATGAGGATATTCTAAAATATATAGGATGAACTCAGTACCAATAAGTTAAGTTTAAGCTTTGGAAGTTGGCTCAATATGGACAACCCTTGATATCACTTGTCGGGAAGATGGAGAGTCCACAACAGAAGAGCCCAACATGCTTTTGATACCACTTGTTGGCAAGATGGGATCCACCATACATGTTTGAGCCAACTTGACCTCCCAAAAGCTCAATCACATAGGTAGTGAGCCCATCAATGTAAAACAAATCCAAATTTACCCCAGTTATTTACCCGATATGGGATAACTGAGCCATAATAAATTACCAGCAAGATGCATGAATTACATATTGACGGGCAAATACAACTTCGATAGATTGTGTATGACTCATCTTCTTTTCCACGATTAACAATCTCAATGCTATACTAACCCACCCTTTCAATGGTGCCACATGTTCCCAGATCTGAGGTTTGGCATCCTTATGCTTGCATATCTGAAACAAATTGAAAAGTTACAATCCCTTATCAAAAATTAGAATGAACTTAATGGACTTATAGTGTAATTCAGCTTCATCCTTACTTGGAGACCAGCAACATCATCCGTGGCCAAAAGGGTAATCAAACCAAAATCAGAATGGGCACCAGCTCCATATAATCCCTTGGTGGGATCAGATATTAGACCTAATGAACAATCAATGAGTCAACATTACACAAGTGACATCAATCAAAAAAAAAAAATTCTGCATGCTCCACAATGGAGTTTGGTAGCTTTTGTTTCAATTTTAACCTTCATAATGTAGCAGGCGCAACATGGCAATAGGCTTGCCAAGCATTTCTTGCTGATCAAAAAAGTTGCCCCCAAGGTCAAGTGCAAGGGCTATGAGTCTTGCAATTGCTTTTGCCACTTCACTGAATGCATATATAGAAAGATGAGAAAAAATAATGTGATTAGACAAAAGAACAAAGTCCAAGTTGCCTTTTACATTCAAAATTAAATCAATGTTGCTCACTACACGAAAATGTATCCAAAAGATACTAAGATATGGCCAAAAATCAAAAGTCTAGAGGAAGTCTAGAGGAACAACACATAAGGATGATTGAAAAGTCCAGCTCTATAATTTTTGAACAAGTCTTACAGTAGGAAAAGACACCATGGTCTCATCAGAACAAGGCAAAAACTACAAGAGATTTCGTCTATAACATTAACTCGGCAGCTAACATCATTCGATCTTTAACCTCAGATGGAAATCTCTTTTGTTTTCCCAAGATTCAAAGTTGTCTAAAAAATTGAAATCTTAGAAAAATGCATCATGCGAGAATCTATAAAGAATAGTGAAGCATAACACATTGTAGAATTTTGAGAGTGAAGTGCAATTAGATCCATTTTCTGGGACGAGTTAGATAAATTTTGAGACACGTAAACAATTGTTATCACAAAGAATAAAGAATATTAGTGGTGGGCTTCAGTTAGCTAATAAGAAGAATAGATCCCATTATCAAAGAAGGGTTCCTGAAAGTAGTAGAGCATAATTGATGATAACTGAAAAAAATAGTAAGCTCGTATATTTGGTAGATTCTACAAAATTACAAGAGATGATATATGTGTCTATGTAACTACACACACACACATAAATATGCATACTTAAGGGAATCAAATGCCTTCAGATAATATACATCACAGAAGAATGCATCCTATGAGAACCCTTAAAGAATACTCGATTATCATGATCTTCTGCTTTCCTCATAATGTGATCTTCTCACAACACTTCCTAGTTGATGCAATACTTTAAGATGCCAATAATATATTGATGTCTTCATTAAACAAACATCAATGAAATGTAACTGTTCAAACATTCAAACCATGTCCAGATAGTTAAAGTCCTATTTGAACAGGAGTTATTCCCTATGTATTTTTGGTAGTGCATGGAGGAGTACGTATGTCTGTCAAATATAACCTTGAGTTCTATCTGATAAAATAGAGGCTTGACAAACTTACAGTGCTTCTTGATGGTATTTCTCCATAGTTTGCCTCCATCCAGGCAAAATATCTTGCAGACATACAAACAGTTCAAGGAATCAAAAGATTTTACAAAAAACCTCAAGCAGAAACAGAGACAAGATACATGAGTATGCGTGTGCGTGTGTGTGTGTGAGAGAGAGAGAGAGAGAGAGATTAAAATGTGTCAAGACCAATGAAATTCTTATTGACTATTTAACATAGAAAAAATTGTTGCTTCACAAGAGAAATGAATTGCTCCTAAAAATTACCATTCAAGGGCCAAACATTTGGTCCGTAAAATGGTTTCTCTGCGTCAGAATCATCTTCAGGTACTTCAACACCAATATAATATCCCTCCTTGTAATCTCCTAAATCCATAAAACAAGACAATCACTTTTTTGCCTCAGTATTGCATATAATATTGACAAACCACAAATGACATATAAGCGACCAACTGAAAGAAAAAGAGGTGTAGGACAAATGCAGCCAAATCATTGGATAGTGTTTCATAGTATGAAAGTAATAATACGGTAGGAAGATAAAAAATATATACACACATACTGCATAGACACGTAAACTAATACATAAAAGAGGCCATTAACAAATGTTGGTCCTGTGATATAGGGCGTTGGGATTGGTGTGGACATAAAATTATCCTTCTGCATTATGTAGACATGCACAAGTATGCGTCCTTACATGCAAGCAAATTACATTATGTCGAAGAGCAGGTCAACCAAATTGTTCTAGTTTATCCGTAGCACTTGAGCATCATCCACGGCCATACCTACTCTTCCGGCTTTCCACTTGATTTTCCGATAGTTACTAAGATATTTCATGCGATAGTTACTCCTGGTAACTTTCGTCACTGATTGGGGCACAAAGGTTTTCTATTATGATTGACATTCAAATTCTATTGTGAAGGGAAAAACAGTGGTATGACTGATATTCGACCCAAGCCCTTTTATAGTGAGGAAGACTTGTGTCAACCATGATATCATTACTATTGTGTGCATGATGTGTGGGTAACATCTAAAGGAATTCTTTTTGCATAGGTCTTTCTAGCATTCCCCTTATTTAAGAAAATGTTAAAAGGTCTTCACTAAAACTTGTATCAAATACAACATTGCATAGACTGTTACATTACATTATTCATATTGCTATATTGTTGCTTCATTCAATTATACAAAAAAGAACGGTAGCGAACTAACCGTGTACTTGATTGATAGGATCCAAATATTCATCTAGAGCAGGAGTATATCCTCGATGCTTCTTGTTCCTTAGAAGCTTCATTTTTTCCTTTATGGGTAGGTCAAAGAACCTTTTGCTTTGGGAAAAAACCTCATCTATGAATTCCTCACTGATTCCATGATTGATAACATAGAAGAAACCAGAATCCAAGCAAGCCTAATGCACAAGTGATGAACCAATATACTTAAGCCCAAAAAATAATATCACTTTAGATGAGATGTAACCAATATATGGGGAGGAGACAAAGCACATAAATTAGGGTCTAGGCGGCACTGAGCCACTAAGGAGGACAAAGGACACAAATGGGGCATGAAAATTGTCAGGTATGTTAGACAGAGACGAAGAAATCCAAGAAAATGAAGTGTAGTTATGCAATCACTTATACACAATATTGTTTAAACTTATGGAGATTAATAATTACATGTGCATATTATAACCTTTCTCAGCAAGGCGACAACTTTTACAGTGGGGGCCTGGCTCTCCTGCTTTCCCACGAATAACAAGTGATATTTTCAATATTCAAGTACCTTAGTTGTCCCACAAAAAATCAATTACTCGCTCATAACAGTTGAAGATATAAGTCCACCCCTTCAAGAAGGCACTTCCAAGAAGCTGTTGTCCCATTATCAAAATACGACTCAAAATTGTCAATTGTTCCAACTCCATCATGTGGGTTGAGGACTGAAACTTTCTATAATTATTGATAGTTTCTAGCAAATAAAAAAATTCAACACAATGGGCAAATTCAGTTGTTACTCAGAACTAACAAGCACGAGGTCGTCAGCTTGGATGGTCAATCAGGTATATATGCGAAAAGTTAGAATATGCATCCCTCCCAGGTGGCAATTCACATGTTGCTTACAGCCAAAGTAGGGCAGGTTGTGTAGATTCAATTCAATTACTGAGTTGATTTTTTTTATGGAATGAGCTTTGGGCTAGAGCTTTTGTGCTTGTGCACAAGGTGCTTCTGTAAAATTGGACCAAAATATTGGAAATAAATGACAAAATAGACAAATTGCTACATATTGACATAAAAAAGAATGGTTCCAGAGGAAAAAAAGAAGGAAAAAAAAGGTATTGAAATCTAGATTAATTATACATCCTTCAGCATCACTCAGGCTAGTTGATCTTCAGTTTCATCCAATCATTTTATGTATATGTTCCTGATTTCCTCAGCTATGTTATCTGACATACAAAATACAACGGACAAGAATTGCAAATGGAGCAAAAGACTAAATATCGCTTAGTGCTTCATAAAAATCCTCCGTGAAATTATAGAATCAAAAACAAATATTAAATCAACATTTAATCAACTGATCGCGACTATTTTTTGACAGGTTTATTGAATTCACCAAGAAATAACCAAATTGAATCACGCTTATAATCCATGGCCCGCTAAGAGCAAATATTTTCGTACGTATACATGATTCGCTATATATATATATATATATATATATATATATATATATATATATATATATATATATATATATAAAGAGAGAGAGAGAGAGAGAGAGAGAGAGAGAGAGACTACCTGTTTGAGTAGAGAAACAGAGTGTTGAATATCAGAACTAGAGAGATCGATACAATTTAGAAAAGAAACTGTGGCAGAATCTGGAAGAGATTTGATAGCTTCTTCGTCTATGTTCATCATTTTCAATAATCAAATTACAACAGACCTCAGGTCATGAAATTCACATACGAGAAAAGCAGAGTTCTCGTTAAATGGTTGTGACTTGACAATTGACAACCACTTGGAGACAACGTTTGACACGACAATTGACAACCACTTGAGTGGTGTTTGGATAGTGGGTTAAAAGTGGTTATCCGCAAGTTGGAAGGAATAAAATAGGAGTCACGTAAGTATACAAAGACCCCTACCACTTGGAGACCACATTTGACAAGACAATTGACAACCACTTGAGTGGTGTTTGGATAGTGGGTTAAAAGTGGTTATCCATTAGTTGGAAGGTATAAAATAGGAGTGACATAAGTACACTAAGACCCCTACCATTTGATTATATCGTCTTTATACCCTTCTCTGATATTTTGTTCTTGGTAAACCCCCTTGTATTTAAGTGTTATTACTCGAGGCTATTTAGTTCTTGGAGCGAGAAAAAATTGACTTAATTTGTTGACATATAGATGTGTAGCAATAAAAAATTTAAGAGTGACAGTCTTACAATAACATTATTGGACTATGTTACTAGCACATCATTGAATTGATAAATTAAGTTAATTTTTATCTCCTATAAATTTTCCTCTTCGGAAAGTTCGTTACATTTTTTTTAATAGGTCGACATTAAATCCCATCAAACATTTGTTACAAATATCTTTTAACTTGATCACGTCATATTTATGTGTATATTTACAAATATTTATTAATAATGATACATTATATATTTAATTTATAATTAACGATTTAAGTGTCTCTTGAAAATAAAGATTATAGTAGTGTTTATGGGTCATTTTAATGAAGAGTCACACCTCTTTTAAAGAGGTACATGAAACATCATAATTATGAAGTTTCAATGCCTGGCCAAGATGATGAAGTCATTTGCTATTTGATTAATCCTATTATGCTGGTGGTGGTGGTAGTAGTAGTGGTGGTGGTAATAACATTGGATGGTAGTGGTGGCAGCGACAAAATGATGGTGGTGATGACACAATGATAGTGGTGGTGGTGGGTGGCCGATGGTGGTGATGGTGTTAGTAATGGTGGCACAATAGTGGTGGTGGTGTGGTGGAGATTGCACAATGGTGGTGGTGACGGTGGCAACACAATGGTGGTGGAGGATGGTGGGAATTGAAAATTTAAGAGTGTAAAATGCATTAAAAATATATTTATCAATTATGAAGAATTGATAAAAATTTTACTGAGTAACATTTTCATTATTAAGATTAAGTAGGTGTCTTGTTACTTAAAATTTTAGCCTATTTTTAAAAAGTGCTTAAAATATTAAGTGGTACTAGTTTTTAGGTTATCAAATGAGTTTAATTTATTAAGTACTTAAAGTCTTCAGTTTTAAGTTTTAAGTGGTATTATCAAACAAGCCCTTAATCTACTAATATAAAGAGGTGTCACAATAAAAAAGTCTAAGAGTTACCATCTCACAATAACATGATTGTACTATTTTACTATCACATCATTGAGTTGGTAAATTAGATCAATTTTTTGCATCCTACAAATTTTCCCCTTATCTCTTTGGAAAGTTTGTTACATTTTTTTATTAGGTTGATATTAGATCCCATCAAACATTCATTACAAATATATTGTAACTTGATTACATCGTATTTATGTGTATATTAACAAATATTTATTAATAATTAATGATACACAAATTGATTTTAAGCACCACCTGTCAAGTAATTAATGTAGTAAATAAATAAGGAGAGAGTTAACACAAACAAAACACAATTTAAGTGGTTCGGTCAAGGTGACCTACTCCACTATAAAGGGCTAAGATGGCCTAAGTATTTTATTGCTTCAAGGAATGTTGGGTGTTCAAGTGTGAGCAATAGGCGAGATACAAGATGTGAGAGTTGCCCCCTATGTGTAAGCTGGACTTACAATTTATAAGCGTCTCCTAACAGATTGAGGCATCTTATCGATAACAAAAAGACTGATTTGGTGGAGTGGACGCCATCCTCGCCACAGGTGAGGTATTTGCTAAGAGGGCGTGAAGACCTCCTCACTCTAGAATGGCATGGATGAGGCTTTAGGATGGCGTCGCTGACTCCTTGACTCTAGGATGGTGTGACTGTTGGGGCTTTGGTGAACCTGGATTGATCTGGGTCTCTTCTGGGCCGAATCCGTTAGGCTTCGTCTGGACCGGGCCCATAATCCAAGTTAGGCCTTGGCTGGGCCGGGCTCACTACCTGGGTTGGCCTTGTTTGGGCCTGGCCCACTATCCGAGTTGGGCCTTGGCTGGCCGGCCCACTATCTGAGTTGGACCTTGTCTACACGCGAGCCCACTACTCGAATTGGGCCTTGGTTGGGCCAAGCCCACTATCCGAGTTGGACCTTGAGCTAAGCCCATCAATAATGACACATTATATATTTAATTTATAATTAACAATTTAAGTGTCTCTTGAAGATAAGGATTACAATTACAACCCTCATATAGTAGTCTCTATGAGTGATTTTAATGAAGAGTCACACCACTTTTAAAGAGATAAATGAAACATCATAAATATGAAGTTTCAATGCAAGGCCAAGATGATGAAGTCATTTGCTATTTGTATAATCCTATTTTTTTTTTTTCTTTTTGGTATGATTTTCAAATTTTCATTCGGATGGGGTTCTTGTTCCGGAGTTAGAATTTTGATGAATTCATCTACATTATAGTGGAAAAGTTTTTATCCAGAAAATAGCAACAGACGTGTCTTACCTAATCACTTTACTATCTATATTAATTTTCTTATATTTCTACTATTTAATGGGATTCCAAATAAAATATCAAATAAATAGATATCCTTGAATGAGTGAATCCCATTAAAAAGTTTAGCTAGACCAACTAATGCAAGGCTTCATGCATTTGGAATCCCCAATATTCCTCCTTGAAACTATTATTTACCAACGTCGAAAATTAGATAAATATGTGAAAAGCTAATGAATACATGTCGCACATCCCCAGTAAACTATTAAATTGTAGAAAGAGTCATAGAAATTTTAAGAGTAAAATGGTAGATCTATAATGGGGTCGCCTTTCATTTTTTATAACTAGGGTCGTTCACATATAGTACCCGTGTGTAAACAAAAAGAAAAAAAAGAGATAGAAAAGTGTGAAGGAATTGAAATAAATAAAACTGTGTGATTAAATGTGATAAACGAGCAGTTATAGGTGGTTAAATGTGATAAATGAGAAGCTATAGATGATAAAATAAAATAAAATATTAATAATAAACTAATAATAACTACTACTAAAAGAAGATAACACCAAACCACACCAATCTCATTATCTATATCTATACTACTACTAAAAAAAAGCTAAGTAAAAAACTTTTGATTGACTATAATATCCTTCATTAAACATATAATTCCATTGAACAATTTTCTTCCATCTTCTCCAATTAATTACATACTCCTCTACTATTATTTCATCTCCTTAAATTACTTATGTACATATATTTAATATTTTGAGTATTCATTTCAACTTTAATTATTGATTTTAACTCTAATGATGTTCATATCATTATAAGTAATGACTAAACAGTACGCTATCACCTTTTTTTATCTCCATATAATGGACTCGGCAACTTTTAGCCTTCTAATTCTAGCCACATGAATTTATTTGAGGTTTTAATGTTTGCAGGCCAAAATTTTTTTGTGATTACAAAAAAGTTTGAAAATTTTCTTCTAAGTTGATGTCTGAGTTTTATGGCCTTGGAAAAACCACGTATGGTAACTATAAAAACCTTTTAAAACTTTTTCTCTCTTTCCTACTGAGTTTCAAGGATTGCTATAAAAATGTTGTCGTTTGATGTGAATGTGCCCTCTCTATATCATGAAACTCTATTCCTAGGTAATTACCTTTGCCCTTATTTGGGTGTGGGGGCTTACGATTTTCCCAAAAATAAAAAGAGCTTGTAATCTTGTCCTTATATATTGATGGTTGGACAATTATTTTTAACTTCAACTCTTCATTATTTTTTTACACTTTTTTAGGAAAAAAATATTTCAAGAAATTTGCAAAAGCATTGAACAACAAATAGCTAGAGAAGTAAAATTTTGTGATCCTCCATATATCTGACATAACCATGTGTTAGATAGTCTATCTCTTCAATGAGTGCATATTTACAATGTCAAATTTGACTAGATTTTACAAAAGAACGATCAATATATATACACTATTTTATTGAGCTTAATCCTACTATTTTTACTTGTTGCAAGTCAAATTAGGGTGTTAGAATTCCAATAATCACAATAATTGATTGGATTTTTGTTTTAGAGGTTTTCTCCTTAAACTTTATATTGAACAACAAAAAATTTGAAAAGATATTGGTTTATATACCTTTGAAAAATATTATTTATTTTGGGTCAAACAAATAGAGATTGAAACTTTTTCAACTTATGATCTCCCATCTCCCAAAAAAAGAAATTAAAATCACAATCTTATTTAGTTTTTTTTTTCAGTCAACAATCTTATTGAGTTTACTTGAGCTATTTGCTATGTAGGAATCACTTTTTCTAATTTTGGTGCTAAACAAAATATTTCTAATGAAATTGTCCACGTGCAAAACAACACGTGTACATCAACTAGTAATAGTATAAATGTTATGCGATAGCATGAAGGAAAAGTGTGAGGTCTTATAATCTGGGTGACGGAACTATGAGTAGGCCAAGAGGCCCACGCCCCCTCAAATTTTAAAAATTTTCATTGTCCTCTTTATATTTTTAAAAAATTTTATTGCTAATTTCTAACTTTTCAAAAAGATCAATCACTTTAATATATATATATATATATATATATATATATATTGATGAATATATAAATAGGTTTTATTGAAGGTTGCTAATTTAGGTGTTTTTAGACCTAATTTAAGATTGATTTGTCTTGAAGTTTTTTAAAGAATTTAATCAATGTGTCAAAAGGAAAAAAAAAAAAAAGGAAAGGGTTACTGGTTTCAGAGTTCCCGTAGGAAGAAGACGGTGAAAAAGTGTA